TCCCTCTTCTATTCCTCTGGTAGGCCGTTTGCCGTCAACTACCTCAAGACTCCTGTCACGTCCCCATTTGTTATAATGTTTGTCTAATGTTCAAGAGTTTCAGGTGCACTTCAATGTGAGCACTGTCTACCCCTACCATTTTCACCCAGAAATGGTCGTGTCGTGATCGCGATCAGCTCTGGTTCTGTGATCTTCCCAAATAAGGGTCATCGCTTATAGATTCCCTGAGAACAATCTAAACGCACCAGTTGATTTGTGATCAATCACTGAGATAACGTTCCGGTGCTCCACCAACCTTCTTTAACCTTCTGCCGGACCGTAAAAAACAGCCACGAATCCACTGATTTCCATTGTCAGCTCCAGAGTATCAAGCAAAATTTATTTAGATTCGGCTTGACCTCGACATTGTCCTCATCTCTCTTGATGGTGTCATCTTTTCCGCTTCCAAAGCGGTTCCAATTCAATAGGTTTTACTACAACATGTATCTCAGGTCTCATTTGCTTGGGGCATCGCGTAGAGTAAATGAATAACCTAACTTGCCATATGTACTCCCTCCGGCAGTAGGACAGTACATCCCTGCTGAAAGGTTTCTGTTCCAAACTTGACTAACAAGACCAGGATCACTACTATCGACAACCTCTTGACCGCATCCTTTAAGTAACGTGAAACTCCAGGTAGTTTTTCGCAGGGGAAACAGTCTATCCTGCTCCTAAACTTTTCTAACATGCCGTCTGTTCTAATTTAGCCGTCTTCTCTCTGCACGTTTTCCGTCCAAAGCTTTTCTTAGGTCATTCGATTCAAAGTTGACGCACGAAGTTTGTTGCCGTGCTCCCTTTCGTCTTTGCGCGGCTCAATGTCTTGAGCATGTATGCGCAAATACTTGTATCATTATGGCGAAACTCTCTCAAACGCATCCTTCCCGGTGCTCCAATTTGCGGAAACAAATTCAACCACTTGCTTAGCTCTCATTTGATTCTTTAAGCCTATGCTTCCAAGTGTTCGTCCAGCTCTCTCACAATCTAGCGTCTGCTAGCTTCGTCGTAGTTTCCAGAGTTTCCGCTCCAGCGAAACCAGAGATCGCTGAAGAGTCAATGATAATCAGATCATCCACATCTACCATTGGTTTTAACTTAAGCTGCCGACACTGGTTCTTTTTAATTACGAAGTTAAGTTGCTCAACTCGGAGACTCGGAAACTCGGAAACTCAGTGAGAAGTCAATTCAGTGCAGTCACTACCGTGCTCAAATTACCTCATATCGTTTTTTTGTACCCAAAAGAATTAAGAAAATTGTTTTGTCGACTGATGTTTTCCCTGTGACCTTTCCTGCTCCCACATGCCTGGCTCGTAAGGTCCTTTTCTTCAATCACTGAAGCTTTCATGATTGCAGATCTTCGCAAAAAAGCCTCTACTACGCCGCAAGGAAACGCATCTTCTCAAAACCTCAGCTTTTTTTGAGTCGCCAATTTGTTCAATAACGGTGGTTTTTGCTTAATCGTTATCTCTCCGGTTTTTGGTCTCAAAATTTGTGAGATTCGTGTCATGAAAATATGACTACACAGATTTTGGTACTTATTTCCATCGATTTTAGCTGTTTGGTCAGCCCAATTACGATGTAACTCACTAGCTTAGCGCTTTCTAATGGTCCAAAAAACTGAAGATATCTCAAAAAACCATTTTCTGAGCAGTCAAAATATCAATGATTTGAAACTAAAAATGGAGTATAATTTGTTGATTTTGATGAAAAAGGAATAAAAGTATTAATTCATGTAATATGAAAGTAGTACAAACCATAATTGATCCCTCCGGTTCTGATCAATATTCAAATTAAGGTGCTCAATTCGGAAATTCACAGCTTAGTGAGAAATCAATTCAGTGCAGTCACTGTCGTGCTCCCTTTTCCTGATATTGTAAGGTTTTTTATTTAATCAATTTACTTTTCGGATTTATTAAAAAACAGCATTATCGTACCTAAATACTCAAACAAGACTGCTCGTATCAGGGCGAAGCCCTGAAAGTTCCGACTGACTTTTAACGTTTATGGAGCAGTAAAAACATAAACAACATAAAAAAATTAAATGAAATAAAATAAAATGAATATTTTTTCCAAAATTTGAAATTTTTCTATAAAAATCATCCCCCCACACGCCATATAAAGTACAAAAACAATAGATTTTGCTCCTTGTAACAAATCAATTATGGCAAATAAGCTTCTTTCAACCAATTTGGAACGATTTCTAAGACGGATTAAATCTCCGTTTACGCGTTAATAGCGCGAATTATATCGCGCGTTAATTGTCCCAAATTGGTCAAAATGGCAATCTTTAAACCCCCATAACTTTACAAAAAATGATCACAGGTGAAATATCTTTTCAACTTTGAGCTCAAGACAACAATACCTTTTGAATGATATGAAAAAATTTCGTCAAAAATGGCTAGTTAAAAAGTCGAAATTTGTCTGAAGAAAAAAAAAACCCACCCCGAGCACAAATATTCCGTTACTTTCGTATCGAAAGTCGGAACAATAACCGTACAGTACAGTTATAGGAGAGAAGACCGCATTTGATGCTAAAACTATGTGCGGTTTAAATGAGTTCAATAAAGAACGACAAACAAAAAAAATGGCTCGCATCTTGTCTTGATTGGCCTTGTCTACTGATTTTTTGTTTGTAATGTGTTCCTTTTTTGTTCATTTATTTTGTCTGGATACTTCTTTGTGTTTATTTAATTGTGTATTTTTTGTGGATTTTGTTCCTATGCCACCTAAAAAAAACAGGAAGGTAATTCTGCCTCTCTTCACGTTACAGGATTTTTGGTCTTTGTTAAGGCAAAATGCTAAATATGTGAATCTGGAATGTTGCGGACTACCCTCTCAGGTGCTGGTTGAGGTCCCTAACGTGAGCATCCGCCAGCGGCATTCGTTGACGAAATCGTCAATCATTATGATACGAATAACACTCATGAGCGCAAAAAAAACACATAAGTAACAATCGACCGCAAAGTTTTTAATGACGGAAAGTTAACTTGAACCCTACAACGCTTGGCCAACTTCATGAAAAAATTGTACGTGTTTTCACTGTCTCTATCACAGTCAATTTAAAGTAGTTGCTCCGTAAACTGGGGTCAACAAAAATAGGGCTGGATCTCAGTGTCCGCAAACCACGAAGTCACTCCTAACACGTTATCACTCTTATAACTAAAGTGTTTACTCAGCAGAGAAATTGTTTGATACATTTTACTAATTTCTAGCTTCTAGTATCATGAAAATGGAAACGTAGATAAAACAAAACAAGACTGCTCGAATCAGGGCGAAGCCCTGAATGTTCCGACTGCCTTTAAAATTTATGGAGCAGCAGTAACAACATTAAAAAAAATAAATTAAATAAGAGAAAACGAAATTTTTTTTTCTAAAATTTGAAATTTTTTTTGAAAATCATCCCCCCACGCGCCATATAAAGTATAAAAAGAGAAGTTTTGTTCCTTCTAACAAATCAATTATGGCAAACAAGCTTCGTTCAACCAATTTGGAACGATTTATAAGACGGATTAAATCTCCGTTTACGCGTTAATAGCGCGAATTATATCGCGCGTTAATTGTCCCAAATTGGTCAAAATGGCCAAAATGGCAATCTTTAAACCCTCATAGCTTTACGAAAAAAGATCACAGGTGAAATATCTTTTCAAATTTAAGCTCAGGACAACAATACCTTTTGAATGATATAAAAAAATTTCGTCAAAAATGGCTAGTTAAAAAGTCGAAATTTGTCTGAAGAAAAAAAAAACCCACCCCGAGCACAAATATTCCGTTACTTTTGTACCGAAAGTCGGAACAATAAAATCAGGACATAACCGGAGAGCTGAAATTTAAAAGTACACAGTGCAAGAGTTCGATCGACGATACATCTTTCTTGATTGCAGATAATCGCAAAAAAGCCTCTTCTTCACCACTTCCACTCGGAAACGCTTTTTCTCGAAACCCCAGCTTGGCAGAACATATATTGACAGAAAGCGTGTGTGTGCCTCTGCAAATTAAAGATGACTACTACCTCAAACTTACTCGAGAACTTTTCAAGGATTAAAAAGGCGATTTACAGATTAACTGAATCATCAACAATAAACTTAAGTGACTATAGTTTTCTACATATTTGACGGATCTTTCGATGATCAACCGCACTTTTTTCCTTCTTCGATCTATTGACAGATGTTTGCAATTCCATCAGTTGGGTTTTGATTACATAATGGTATTCATCATTAGGTTTTGTCTGCGAAAAACTAGAAAACTCCTTCCCCGGATTAATAACGGTTTAAAGCAGGGGCGGATTTAGGGGGGGGGGGGGGCGTTGGTTGCGGACGCCCTTCCTCAGGGATTCGACCCCCTGCCAACCTAAAGGGTCCCCCCTTTGATACTTTTTCAGAAATCCATTTTTGGCCAACCGACCCTTAAATTTTTTTAAAGGCGCCTTTGGCGCCAATATATACTAACTTGTAGGGGGAGCGCGCGCCGAAAAAACGCGATTTTTTGGTCAAAATTTTCATAAAAGTACCTAAAAATGCCTTTTTTGGACTGTTTTTTCAAAATTTTGCCTGCGGGGCAGAAAATTTGGCCAAAATAGGAACTATAAACAGGCTTAGGGAGGGCTCGAAAAATCAATTCGGTCGACCTAAAAAAAAAGGTCGACAAAAATTTCGAAAATTTTTTGAAAATCCGCCCCCCCCTCGAGAAAATCCTAGATCCGCCCCTGGTTTAAAGGCAATCCAACGCTTGATTTTTGTCAATTTCGTGTGTTGATGGAAAGTGAAAGATGAAAACTTTTCCAGAAAAGCTGAATAATGGCATTTTGTCACGTTTTGGCTAACCTAAAAATTGGTAGAAAAAGTTGGAAATCCTCTTATTGCTGGCAAAAATCCTTGATCCGGTCCTGGTTTGCCTTATTGTGCCAAAATAGCACTTTATTTTGAAATTTAAGACAAAATAAACCTAATGCTTGTTTTAAAAGGAAGTACAAAATAAATTTTAATTCGAGCAATTCAAAGAAATTTTAGCAGGTTAATTCAAGTCAATGACTAAACTATTTTAAAGTAGGTAAATTTACAGGCAGATTTAAATTGTTCATTTAGGATTAATTTTGATGATTTATTTTTCGAAAGTTTTACCTCTCTGTTTCCGTTCTGAGAAACCGGCAGCGTCCGCTTCACAGAATAGCCACTTTTTGAGCGTGTGCATTACGCTGCGCCTGAAGATCTTTCTGAAATCAGAAGAACAGGTATGTCCTTTTGCTCCAGAACAAGTAACCACATTTCCCGACAGAATGTGATGTTTTTTTGTTAATTTGAGAACTTGATTATTTTGATTGGTTGAATTGCTCATCAAAGTTGGCATGATTGGTTGAATTGCTGTTTAAAACTTTACTTGGGGCCGTTCAACTTAACATACCCTCAATTTAGGCCAGTTTACCAATCACACATCAAAGACAAACTGCTGGAACATTTTTTGGGGAAAGTTGGGGTTTTTGAGGAAACCCCGCGAGCAAAAGCTTATAAGGTGAAGTTTCTTTCCAACAAGCATTTTTTGCTTCAATGCGCTTATACAGGGGCGGATTAAAGGGCGGGGGATTCGACCCCCTTTGAAGTTCCCCTTTAAATTTGAAAATCGGCCCCCGCGAGAAAATAGTAGATCCCACCTAATCTTATCTATAATTCATAAAATATCATTAAAAACTATCAATAATTGGCAAAGTGCAGGTAACTGTCTTCCGAAAATAGCTGATCAATCTTACCAAATAGGCGTGTTCTGCTCGTAGAGTCTCTTGTTTCTTGCGGAACGTCTGCAAAAACAATACAAAGTGAATGTTTAGCAATTATGCATGAGAGAACAGTTATGCTAGTATGTACACTTACAGTCCAGTAGAAGACGAACATGTACATTGTCTGCCACAGGCCTTGGGCGATGCCGAGTCCAATTAGCAGACAGGTGTCGATTGTCTTGGCTGTATCTTCGTCGTTTTTCCAGATCGAGATGAACGCGAAGAGAGCAGTCTTGCCGGATAAGTAGCTGACCCCGGCTAATACATAGGTGTCCTAAAACAACAATAGCTGGCATTTATGTCGGGCAATTATCAACAAGGGGGAGATTCATTCACAAATTTGGTTTTGACTGAATTAGACGTCATTTCTCGAATTCGCAACTCCAGAACTTGAAAAAGCTTGATGACCTTTTGAATAATTTTTGCTCTATTGTATCAAAGGCGGATCTAGAATTTTCTCGAGGGGCGCGAATTTTCAAAAAATATATATCAAAACAGTTGTTGACCTTTTTTAGGTCGACCAAATTGATTTCCGAGCTCTTACAAGTCACTAAAACAACCCTGTTTCGGCCGAATTTTCTGCACCGCAGGCAAAATTTGGAAAAAACAGGCAACAAAAATTGGGAGAATTGAGCACTTGTCTACGGCGTCCTAATTTACCATGCTAACCATTATATTTTTGCCCTGATATAATGAAACTTATACTTCAGTCGCGCTTGTCGCGGTTAACTTTTATTCGGTCGCGCTGGTCACTGTTAATTTTTTTTGGTCGCAATCGTCTGATCATAAAACCACAACCTCGACCCGGGTACAAATGCAGACAACAAAAAAGAGTTCGGAGAAAATTTTTCATTTATTTTTTACATGTGGCGGGGCTCCAAAATGTTGAGTTTGTGAGTTTAAAGGAGCTTTTTTTTAGCAGCCTAGCCACCCAGTTCAGATTTTTTTCAATCAAAACTATTTGATGATGTTTGATTGTCGGTATCAAATACAGCAGGCTGCTACAGTTGTCTTGTTCCAAATGAATTGAAATTTGCTGGCTCCATCTGTAACACAATTAAGACATTGTATTTTGCTCTTCTATCTTGCGCAAAACTCTGCAAATTCTGCAAAATTCTGCAATTTTGTATCGTTCCGACCATTGAAAATGGGATATAGTTTTGACACCCCTGATTAATTATCATAAATTACCATATCAGAAAAAAAATTGTTCTGAACCCTGAATGTAATGTGGGGTGGGGGGGGGGGGGGGGGCTTTGTATTCGGCGTGTTTTGGTTTCTTTATCTTTTATCACACAAAATGAGGTACCCCGAATAATCATCGGCATGGGTCAAATGAAAAATCATATAAACGCCTTTTCAATGTTGTTCCAAATCTCAAGATGGAACGGAATATGTATAATATTTATAAAAATATGGATGACCTGAGCTCAAAATGGAGATTAATTCCACCTAACACAGTTTTTGATATTAATATATTGATATTGCGTTTTGGAGAAGAAAAACACTGAATTTTTTTTTCATATTTTTTGTTTTTTGTTTCTGAATTTTTTTTTTCATATACGCTTTCTCTATTCACGGTTCTTGTAATTGCAAGGATTTGTTAGTTATTTAAAGATAGCTGATCTTAGCATCTTTATGTCGTTTTTCGACATGATTTGATAATTTCATAGAATGTCAATAAACTCAATGTATTTTACTGGTAGGCTTATCAAAAACTTGAAAATTGCAGTGACTTTTTCAGACAAACTCGTTTTGAACATTTTTCAACGTTTGATGGCCAAAATAGAGCCAATAAAAACATCATGATAATTTTTTTTGAAAGCGTGAAAAAGTAGCAAGACTTGAATCATACTGAAAACTGTTACTGAATAAAACATTTTCTTCCGGCCGAAATGAATGCCTCCGGATTTTAACGATAACCGTGTATTTTGATTTATGTCGAGACCTTCAAATAGTGCTATTCATTCAACGTCTGATAGAGTGGATGAGCTTTTGGTCGTAGTATAGAAACGGTATTATCCCCCATATTCGACGTCGTTGGACCACAAATTTATTTTCTCCGAATTATACGACGCTTAAAAGCGCGATCATCAGCTTCCTGCCTTTGATTGACCTTTGTTTTAAAATTGATCAAAATAGCCAAAATAGACCATGGGAAAGCTTGAGTGTTTTTAAAGCAAGCACAAAAAGTAAACGTTCATGCTTATATATAATAGCTAAAACATCAATAGCTGAACGCCGTTATTTGTTCTACATTTAACGCAAACTGCAACTACTTACCAGTTTAGTGAGGTATGAGATGGTGGGGAGGGTGTTTGAGACTGCGATCTTGAAGGCCACCGATGTCAGCAGCAGGGTGAGGGTGCCCCCTATTCTGAACTTCACATCAATTGGGTCAATACAGAACCCGGTGAACGACAGGCCAGTGATGAAGAACTGAAACACAACTCCCAAGTCATTCTCATGACTTCAGAATTATTGGGGCAAAATTACCACTCCAATTTTTTTTTTAATTAACAACATTTTCAAAGCGGCTCAAAAAATCTATTTGTAAATTTTGAAAAGTTTCGAACGTTGACTGCGATATAAATGTATCAAAATTGTTTGAAGAGTCTTTGCGCTGTAATTAATATCGTCAAGGATCTTCAAGTTGTCGAGTTCCTGGGTGTTTGCAGGATAAAAAGTGATGTGGTAAAAATATGGAACAGGCGTTTGCCCTGTCGGATCAGAGAAAAAACTCGAAGGGGTTGAGTTTTTTCATTATGGATACATGAATTTCTCAGGGAGATTGAGTTATAGTGGTTGTGTTGTGTCTATAATTGATGCATGAGTTTCTCTACTCAAGTTTTGAAATTTTGAGGCACTTTTTGGAAAATTTTGACGAAAAAATTTGCGTTTTTTCGGCGAGCGCTTCCCCCTCAAAATTAGTAAATATGGGCGGCTCCGAATGCGCTTTTGAAAAAATGTAGTGTCTGTCAGCCAAAAATGAACATCTCAAAATAGCACAAAGAGAAGAACTTTTGGGTCAACCCCTAAATCCGCTACTGCATGAATTCATGAATAGCTTTTCGTTTCTTTTAATTTCCACCCTTTTTTTATTTTTTAAATTTTCACTTTTTTAAATGAAAACTGCTCACCATGACCAAGTATGCGTTGTAGACGAAAAACTTCATCTTTCGGGACACTTGCGCAGTGGCAGTCAATGTAGACTGCATGATTTGGCTTTGCCTCGACAAGATCACATTATGCTTCAGCTGCACACAAACAGAAACGACCAGGTCAATCAATATCAATAGAAGAAATATACAAATTACGACATCTTGTGGTTACACATAGAAATATAGGAGGAAGATTACTAGTAAAATAAGTACAAAAAGTTCTTCAATGAAACATGATCGATGCAAAAAGAACATCTAAAAGCACAATTTTTTGCAAAAAAGATCAAATTTGATATAGTGGCATGATTCTCATGGCAGCTAGCCAATTCTGCTAATGTGACTGATTATATCTTTCGCAATGCTCAAAATCACTCTATGCTGAATGCCGACCACTTACCATCATAGTTGACTAAAATGTGTACCAATTTAGTTAGTTTAAAAAAATTAACATCAGGTTTGAAAAAAGTAATTACGATTTTTCAATGGTTTTAACAACATAAGACTCCATGTGAAGTGATAGTCACTGCAAAGATTTTTTTCGGGGAAAAAATGGAATTGTTTGTTTATATGAGGGTTTGACCAACGACGAGAGCTTTTTTTGACATCTGAAGGTTAAGTCCAAAACTTCAAAACATCGTTTGTCTAGTCTTGCAAGGATTTGTTCGAGGATAATCATTAAAAGTTAACAGTATCTTCAAGGTCAAAACTTTTCGATGTCGATGAGAGGAAGAGTTATTAGACTGACACTTGGTCGAAAGGTTTGGTTTTTTGAAAAATGACGTATTGAGTTTTTATGGGTTTTTAAAATTTATATAATCATTAATTACTCAAGGTTAGTTCGCTTTTGAGAGGATAGATAGACGTTACTGTTTTACAAACCTGTCGGACTTTCTCAGAATCTATCTATGAAATACAATTATGATTCAAAAGCACATTTCATATGGAAGTTAGATTGTTATGTGAAGTCATTCTTGTATGAAAACATCAAATATTTCAACCAAAATAATACTTAAAATCAACTTTTATTAAACATGCTCTGGCTGTATTGTTATTGTTACCAATGTTTTTAAAGAAACTGAAAAAGACCATTTATCATTCACAGTTTGCGATGAGTGAATTAATTAAGTTGCTGCGATTATTGACAGGATACATACATCGCGCTCGCACGCTGAAGTCTGAAAAATTAGTAATGACTGAAGATCATTCGGTTGAATCGTGAGTTCTCATTTTTTAATAACGACCAGGTGTGGATTTAGAGGAACGGTGGGAGAGGTGATAATTTTCCAAGACAACCATATTTTTGACGACCAAGTTCAACGTTTTTTTTCTAAAGTGCCTTTGGCGCCAATGCATTCACACTGTGATGGGAAAATGCGCGCCAAAAAATGCATTGTTTTTGGTCAAACTACGACAAGATATGTCCTAAAAGGTGACATTTGCAGCATATTTACAAAAAGTTGTTTTCTGTGGCGTAGGATTTTTAGTAAGCAAGTGTATTTTTAGATTTTTAAGTCTTGTGACGAGAGCTCCGAAAACCAATTGGGACCTTAAAAACTGTCGAGAGTAAACATGGATAAATGGCTCACTACCAAAACATGGCCCACTACCTCCTCAAAATCCAAGATCCGCCCCTGGTAGATGCGTTGATTAAAATGTAAGTCTTAGAATACATTTTTTCAATGATAATTAGAAGGAAACTTACCTTGACGTGTTGATAGAGATGCCATTCTTGACTGTCCTGAAAGGTCTCGATGTCTATGATTCCCAGTTCCTCGTCCGGACACAACAGCACCTCACTTGAGGGCTTTTCAGAAATAAACGTCACCGAAATATCCTGAAAAATGTACCTAAAGTTTGCAATTAAGATAATTATATGTCAAACAAAAATTACTTCCTTACGTTAAAACGTTCTTCACTTCTCATACCATTTTCGGCTTACTGGTGATAGTCATTGTTGATGTCGGAACAAAGCTTCTCTGTCTTTATGACAATTTACATAATTCAAAAACAAAGTGATTGTTCATTTAAACTTTTAAATGAGCGAAATTCAAAAACTTTCTTTCATCATCTGCAATTATATTGTTTTCTAATACCTAGAAGTGAGAGTGGGAGAAATACCTGAACGTCATTGGGGAAATCCATGAGCTCCATGTTTTCGAAGAAGGTGCCTTTCAGACGTCTGAACAAGTAGACGGTGGGGACTCCACTGGAGACATCCAGGGACCAGACGACCTCGTCACTCTTCTTGTCCTCCAGGTTGGAGATGTAGAGTTTGGGATCCCACCTCTGCTGTGGAGGCAACTGGGCGAAGTCCTAATACAAATTCATAAAAATAGTAACATTAATAAGTATGGGCGAGTTGTTTCCAGGCATTAATGAAACGATTCACTAATTCACTTGATAAGTTTACAAAACACACCAATAAGTTTACTGCCTAAAAGAGCTTCATTGGACTTACAAGTCCGTTCACAGGTGCCTCGGAGCGGAAATTCATTTTGTAATTTTTTGATACTGGGTGAGAAATAAATTTTCAATATTTGAAATTAAATCATGTGACTACTTGGATTTCAATTTATGTTGCCTTTCGCCAAAAAAAATGAGAGAAGGAAAATTAACTACAAAAAAGACAAAAAAAAATCATGGATCTTACTTAACTAATAGAAAATATGATAACTAGCCAGTGGGGTCATGTTGGCGACACTTGGGTGAGTCCACCTCTGTCTGACTGCCACTTCAGCTATGAACTTTTGACTCTTTGTGTCAATGTCGCTTATCTTTACGAAGTCCAACTTGATGTACACTCGAGTGGGCTCCCCCTTCTGGGCCCCACCACCACCAACTCCCCCTACCTCGGTGGGAGGTTTCGTGTCTCCGACCTGTACGCATGAAGTTAGCATTTATTATGATCTATTCTCTCAATATAGCAGACACAGCTCGACTTTTTAAATCAGACAAAATAAATTTCGAGCACCCTTGAAATCACAAAATCAAGGTAAATTGTCAGAAACTTTTTGCTACGTTATAAAAGTATCAGTTGCATGAGCGTGGGCTTTTGTTTGGACCTGTTGGCTAAAAATATCGTTTTGCGCAGTTGTTGGAAAGTTGTGACCAAAAAGTTACGTTTTTGTTCAGTTCCCCATGAAACTAATATAGGTTGGCTGAAAACTTTAATGTTGTTTGGGTTCGGTGTAAAAGAGTGTTTCAAGATACTGCCAAAAGGAAGAGAGCCTTTTGGTTGATTAAAAGGTGGAAGTCCTGAAAGAGTACCACTTCTCAAAAAAAATCGTGTCCCGACTATAGAGCAATATTAGACACTTTACTAGTTGAAAAAGCTACGTGCACATTGATGTAATAAGTTGAAAAAACTATTTAACCTGTAGAATTAGGTCTCCGTTGGACCCCATATTCGACTGAGCGGGATGAGGGTGTTGACGTGTATTTGCAATGGGTACTTCTGTTCCTCCGTTGATGAAACCGTGTATTGTATCTGCGTCTGGTTTGATCGACGGCGCTGAAGAAAAAAATGACAACTAGAGGAAATGGAATCGGTAGCGAATTTCAGCGCGCCAAGTTCAAGCGCAAAAATATATATTTTGGCAATACAGTTACAGCAAACTAGGAGAAATAAAAGAAAAGTAGGTGTAGATTTTGATTATCTTTTGAATCCCCATAGTGACAACACGGGATCCATACCTGAAGGAAATCATAAAATATGGCGGAAATCAAGAGCGCCATTTAATGAGCAGAATAATTTTATGGGTCGTTTTATAGTCACCTTTGAATATTTCTGGCTAAAAATTCCAACTGCAAAATACTAGGAGTTTGATGTTGCTCAAAAACTTAACCGAAAAAAGAAGAGGCGGTTGCAGTGCAGATGGCACAGAACTTTTTGATCACGTTATAATTGCAAAGAAAAGGTTTTTGGATTTTTTCTGTCAATTTTTTTTTTCGGAATGGTAAAGTTACAGCCGATCATTGAATAGAAAATGGGCTTTTTATTGGGCTTTTTAATGAGCTATTTATGTTGTTCAACTAAAAAAAGACTAGTGGATATGAAAACAAGCATTCGGAGTGAGTAGAAAAAAACTCGCTTCAGTTTTTCTCGATACTGAGAATTTTTTTGGAACCTGAGATGGCTACTAGGGTTTTAAACTTTAAAACGATACCACACTTAACTCACTACGAGTTTTCTCACAGGTGCCAAAAGCCGGGCAGAAAATCTACCCTAAGCCATAGTTCCTTGTCGCCATAAATCATTACCTAACTTCTACTCGGACACTTGGCATATATTTGTTCTTAGTCAGACCAAACAGGCCCGGATGACCTTGAAATATTACTGTACTTCAAGCTCAAGGAACAAATGTTTCTATTTTGTCTATTTTGGCAACAATTTGTATCAAAAATGCAGTTTGATGTTGAAGTTCTGCTTAGTGCATGTTGTTGGAGAAACTTTCTAATTTTAGCATGCTTACCTGGAGCGCAGTGTTATGCTAGGAAATAATGAGACTGCAATTGAGGAAGGAAGCTCTAGGCAACCGTTTGTTATCAATTTATTATAGCGACAAAAAATTGTAGGTTGCTTTTATATTTTTATAAAGCGGAAAACAAATTGGAATCAAATGAATTTAAATGGCAAGATTTGTGCTTCAATTATCTAGAGGCCATTAAAGTCGAGAAGAAAATAAAAATTATTGAATACCGCATGAAGCTTTTGTAGTCAGAAAATGCTGAAACAATTATCATTTATTTTCCACAAGCACTTCTAGTGTCAAAGATAATAAATTGTTTTTATCCATCTCGATAAACATTCATATTGAAGATTTGAATCAAACAAAAAAAAAAACCACAAAAGTTATGATAAAACTCAGGTTTTGTCTATCTTGGATTGATTGATCAATCGAAGTGAACTTTATTTGGTAGAGATTAATAAAAAGCAACATTATAGAAATAGGTTTTTTCAGCTTAAGTCACCTTTGAGCATGGTCGCTTGGTACTACTGCCATCGCTCAAACCAATTATAATCGTTAGAAGAATTGATTGAAAAAACAATTTCCTAGATGTGGCAGAAAAATAGTAAAGAAATAAGATTTCAACAAAACGGAAAATTAAAACGGAGAATTGGATGGTTTTGAAAAATGTAGGTGAGTGCATTTTTCAATGCCATTTTTTCATTCTGTGTCATGTGTATATAAATAGTGGAATACCATACTTACATACAGTTAAACACGATCTGTCATTTTTTCAGTTTTTATGACTTCAATAGTGGCATTTTTGTTAGTAAACTGAGCCATAAAACAGAACAACAGTGGATTAAAATATCCAGTGCTCCAATTTTCTGCGGACTTAATTCTCTGTTTCTGAATAAAACTAGAAAAGCAGCGGAGAAAAGACAAAATGAATATTTTTTTAAGATGAGGCCTAAAAAACCAGGATGTATCAACGGTTCAATTTGCCCTAAATTAACAACGGAAAGCAGAGAGGAGCTGTGCATGTCGCTTGTTAATGAAGCATCAAAGCAGCCGAGTAATTAGGGGGATATTAGTGGGGTCAGACGCTTGACTGATCTTCAGGAATTTCACTTCCACATCACGCAAAGGTCCCAACCTTTGATACTGCTTATGGGCCCACGTGAACAACCCCTCCCCCCTCCATCCTAAAATAACCATATGAGCACACGAAAATAACCATAAAAATTGTGAATTTTGATCGACTGAAAAAACGCTTCTCTCCATGTGAAATATCTCCCCTCTAAAAAGGGAGGTTGTTCACTTGGTCCGCTTCAAGTCATCGATTTTCGATGAACTGACACTGGATTTTTTGTACGGGCGCAAAAGAAGGCAATCAATTTCAATTGAGAGGCGTCATGACAAATATTTTAGCCGATATTTACTCCTTTTTAATAATAAAACTTGGACGATGACAAATCTGATGATTATAGAAAAAAAGATTTGTGTGCATCTAACAAAAAATTATGTGGCACACATCCTTCCTTCAGATATTCGACCTTCCCCCTTCAACGTAGAGTGGTCAAAATTTACAAACTGCACAAAACAAAAAAAAAGAACAGAGCGAAAAGTTGGTATCTACAATTGAGGTTGGTGTGTACAAATAAGTACAAATGGGTGAACTTTATAGAACTTACTTAATCTGCACTAAACATACAAAGAAATTAAATTAAATTTACAGTACCGAATGTACACTTAAAGGTACATATAAATGAAACGATGGGGCAATGTAAAAGGCAAAAACCTATTAAAAAATATATTAAAATAGTCAACAAATGAAGTTTAATAAGTTCGTGGAAGTTTTAGTTATAAGATACCTCGAATTTGTCTAAGGGTTGTCGCAAGTGTTGGTCTATAGTCGATGACACTTCGCTCCGGAAGTCCTCTGTTCTGTGCCAATACTTTAAAGCGTCGAGAATTTCCCATTGGGAGACTTCCACGAAGTTGGCGTCATGGATATTAACTTAGCGACCCCCATTGCGGTTGAATAAGAAGATCAAGTAAGGGTTGTTTCGGCGGCCATCGTCTGTCTTTGAGGAGAGATAGTGAGGGGGTAAAAAAGTCGAAAGGTGACCAGCAGGAGAAGGCAGGGGCGTCACATAATTGATCTCAGGTCTGTGTAATTATCACGTATCGGCGCTCCTCGTAAAACTGTGGGGGTCCCACATTTTTTCTCGGTCTGGCTGATGGTCTCGTCTGAGTGACGAGAGGGGGGTCTCCTCTGGTGTGCTGTCCAGCACTATTGGTTCTGTTGCTGAACCAGATGTTGATGGTCCTGGTAGTCTGCTACGCTCTTCATATTCTGGGAGTGGGGTCTTTTGATCACCTGTAACACTCAAACAAACGTTATTGTCTGTTTCTTGGCTAATTGTAGCATCGTTGTTCGAAACATCCTCGAAGTACTCATCGATCAAGCCGTCCCAAGAATTTAAATTTAGAGAAGATGAGGAGGTCGATTTCGGTGGTGATTCCGGAATGACATTTATTTCTGTCGGTGACTGCGTGTTTCCATGTGTCGGCGTCTGGTTCCCAAAGGTCGTCCTCTTCTGAGAGTTTTCCCGGATTGTCTTCTATCAGTACACCTTGATTGTGGTTTAAAAAGGATTTTAGAAGGGCCCGGAAGTATTTTTCCTCTGATGGCTACATCCGACCAACGTAAAATTTGTCCATTTTACAAAGTAACCATGTGTCAATGATCGCCTCTCTGACGGGATTAAAAAACAGGTCTCCATTTTTTCGAGACTGCACAAAACAAAAAAAAAGAACAGAGCGAAAAGTTGGTATCTACAATTGAGGTTGGTGTGTACAAATAAGTACAAATGGGTGAACTTTATAGAACTTACTTAATCTGCACTAAACATACAAAGAAATTAAATTAAATTTACAGTACCGAATGTACACTTAAAGGTACATATAAATGAAACGATGGGGCAATGTAAAAGGCAAAAACCTATTAAAAAATATATTAAAATAGTCAACAAATGAAGTTTAATAAGTTCGTGGAAGTTTTAGTTATAAGATACCTCGAATTTGTCTAAGGGTTGTCGCAAGTGTTGGTCTATAGTCGATGACACTTCGCTCCGGAAGTCCTCTGTTCTGTGCCAATACTTTAAAGCGTCGAGAATTTCCCATTGGGAGACTTCCACGAAGTTGGCGTCATGGATATTAACTTAGCGACCCCCATTGCGGTTGAATAAGAAGATCAAGTAAGGGTTGTTTCGGCGGCCATCGTCTGTCTTTGAGGAGAGATAGTGAGGGGGTAAGAAAGTCGAAAGGTGACCAGCAGGAGAAGGCAGGGGCGTCACATAATTGATCTCAGGTCTGTGTAATTATCACGTATCGGCGCTCCTCGTAAAACTGTGGGGGTCCCACATTTTTTCTCGGTCTGGCTGATGGTCTCGTCTGAGTGACGAGAGGGGGGTCTCCTCTGGTGTGCTGTCCAGCACTATTGGTTCTGTTGCTGAACCAGATGTTGATGGTCCTGGTAGTCTGCTACGCTCTTCATATTCTGGGAGTGGGGTCTTTTGATCACCTGTAACACTCAAACAAACGTTATTGTCTGTTTCTTGGCTAATTGTAGCGTCGTTGTTCGAAACATCCTCGAAGTACTCATCGATCAAGCCGTCCCAAGAATTTAAATTTAGAGAAGATGAGGAGGTCGATTTCGGTGGTGATTCCGGAATGACATTTATTTCTGTCGGTGACTGCGTGTTTCTATGTGTCGGCGGCTGGTTCCCAAAGGTCGTCCTCTTCTGAGAGTTTTCCCGGATTGTCTTCTATCAGTACACCTTGATTGTGGTTTAAAAAGGATTTTAGAAGGGCCCGGAAGTATTTTTCCTCTGATGGCTACATCCGACCAACGTAAAATTTGTCCATTTTACAAAGTAACCATGAGTCAATGATCGCCTCTCTGACGGGATTAAAAAACAGGTCTCCATTTTTTCGATTGGTGTTTTTCTAAAAAGATTACCTCCGATGGTCACTTTCATAAGTGAAGGTCGTCTGC